TTTGTCCGTGACATTCTCCTCCACCCAATCACGTGACACCCTCGTCACGGATCTGCTCCACCAAGGGTCCCACTAGACCATGGAGAGTCCACACACCTGGCAGTTTTGATACCATGTTTTGATACCACTTGTCACCTCCCAAAAGAGCCTTATGAGTGATGGGCAGCCCAGGACTTAAATACTGCTTTTTGGCCCTACATAGCCAATGGGACTATTTGTCCGTGACACGAAGCTAGCTTCCCTATCTCCGATCGACCCAGGAGCTGAAGCTCTCACATCTGCCGCTGTTCTTTCACGCACGAAACCTGCAAGATTGAGCTATGACCGAAATCTCTAGCTCCTTCACTATGTGTTTCCTTCTATCGAGATTCTTTCCAGCTCCTTGAACATCAAACGCTCGATCTCCCATTTCAACGAAGCCCGTCCCTCCTGTTCAGCTGCTCGCACAAAGCCTGAATCTCGAACGCCTAGTTGCACTGAAGCCGCGCAATCCTTCCGCCTCCTTGCGATGAATCACGGGAATCACACAAAACCACAAGCTCTCTCGTATGTCGAAGCCATTCCCCTGCTCCACTGCCGCTGGAACCTTTCTGCCCGATCCCACAGTCACTCGAGCCTTCCTGCCTCGATTCCGCAGTCGCCCGAACCACCCCTATCTCCGGCTTTGTTGCTGCGCTGTGCTCTTGCTGCTGGAAATCTGATGCGGGTGTCTGTGCAGCTGTATACAGAAAGAAAGGAGTTTTGGGATAGTTTTTTTTTTTGATAGAATTGTGATAACGACATATTTTATATTTAGCAACAGTTCAAAAATTTATATGCTTAATTAACTTAATGGTAAGTACGGATAGTGATAAAGGAAGAGGAAAAATCACAATTCATGAAAATCATAGTAAAAATTTCGTAAATTATATTTTCAATTAATATTTTTGATTCATTACAGGTTTTGTTTTTGTTATTTCTTCTTCAACTCATGCCTCAATAAAAGAATTAATTCATAACTTATATGAAAAGCTCAAAATCTTTAAAGAGAGTTTTAACAAGGAATCATTAGTGTATTATATTTGAGAAGTTTCATTTGCAATACTAGTGTGAGTTCAACTCATGAACAACGGACTTGCATGACAATTACTTTATGAGCTAAATATGTAAAAAGTAGACTTCTACAATTTATAGTCAATCTAAAAAACCATAAATTTAATACTTTTAAGGCTAAACTTTAATTAAAAACAATACAGAATTACAGATACACATTTCAGGTCACAGTGACATTCAAGAGAGCAAAAAAGAAGTGTAGGAATTCGTCAAACCGTCTGCTCAACGAAAGAAATGAAACTTAAGTACAATGACAAAGCAAAGTAATGATTTCAGAGAATCAAATCAACATTGTTCATGGAGGATGACCCTTCTTCCTATATTTTACTTCAGTCTACCTCATCAAACCACAACAAAGAAGAAGACTAAAAATCATTGCAAGAGCTAGTTCAAGTGCTAACATCATTCTTTCACCAACAACAACTTATCTCAGTGAAGCCACACGTAGAGAGATCAAATTCTGAAACTAGTTGAGTTCCTGAATTTAATCATATATTTAAAAATGCTCTAGAAAACATTCAAATTTAAGCCTAAGCGTCTCGGAAAGATCTTAAACATAAGCGTCCCCACTTTCCCAATATGGTACAGTTATAGTGACAACAAAGAACATTGGTAAACCAGAAGCATCATATAGCCTAACATATGTTGCTTTCCAAATGTTTATTTTTCAAATTGAACTAAAATTAATATTGAAAAGGTTCACCTGATGCCATAGGCTTGATCTATGAGATTGCTAGACATCGCAAAAGGCATTTGATGTAAGCATTTGCCCAAAATTACATTTTTATGCATATTCTCACAACACCATAAAAGGATCACCTTCTGGAAACCTTTCAATAAATCTTTCAATAAAGACCATATGATGAAAGGACCAAAATTTGATCATTTGGTCCCAATTTATGATGACAAAGAGAAGGAATACAGGAGACATATGGTGTAGTTCAAATGAATTCATTCATGAACAATTCTCGTTACCCATTATTCCACTTGACCCGAAATTGAACAAAGTAAAAGATCTGTAAATACATAAGAATTGTGTATCATGAGTGTAAATGCCCATAAAAACTAGACATCGAACTTTTCTCAAAAAATTTGCCAGCCTTATGAAGGTACTAACACATTTCCATGTGCAATTTCAATATTAATGTTCAAAACATTATAGTAGAGAGGAAATGGGAGCAACTCAATTGTGATAATCGTAATGTTTTGTTTTCTCAATTTGCAACTCAACTGATTGCCTCCTTATACAAAGCTTTCAAAGGAATGTCAGTTAATGCTTCCAAGTTTTCAAACAATTCTTAAAACAGCCCACATTGAATGCCTTGTATAGCCATTGCATGTGAAGAGAGCGGATTTCCTTGGTAATGGCAACAATGGTTGCTTAAACATTTAAGCCATCCTAAAGTGTCAAATCATCGCCATAGGAAACATAACCATAATTAATTGAGAATTTCACCACTTGCTTCATAGAACTGTACAACATACCATAGTGGAACATTCAAAAGGGGTGGAAAATAAATTGGGACATTTGCATCAAAACCATCCAATTCCTATGTTTTTCCAATTCCTATGTTTTCATCCAATTCCTATGTTTTTACATATATAACAGCTAAACTTCAGTTTATACAACCTTGGCAAAGCTCTGAAGAAAAAAAGAAACTTACTGCTGCTAGAAAAACCGTATGAGAAGAGTTCACCGAGGGGTAGATCTCGCGAAGAGGAGGAGATGGGAACTCTTCATTCGGTAAGAGAACGATGCTCGGGAAGAGGACGAGATTCGAGAGTTGAGGAGATTGGGGAAACAGTAAGCTAGAGTTGAGGGCACGAGCGTAAAACCCATTTAACGCGATGGCAACGAAGCTGGGCCACGGGTATTAGATCGTGTTCCGCGTTCGGCCTGATTCGCGGTTTGTCTGTACGAGACGCCGCCTCATATAGGGTGGAAATCAACCAGCTTAAGCTTCCTTATTTTCAATATATTTATTCTGATTTATTTCTTTTTTTACTGAATATTTAATTAGAAATATATATTATTAAGTTACCTAAAATAAATTATGTATTTTATTTTGTACCAAAAATAAATTATAAGATTGTTATTTAATGAAATGAAAATAAAGGTAAAAGACAATCGAGCCTATTCAGAATTTAGCCTATTTACTCAAAATATTGACATGATATCAGAGACAAAATTTTGTCCTAACCACCGATAACCGTTGAAGTATTGTCAAAACTCTCTTCGTGCCGGTCTTCTTGGGGGAAGGGAGGAACTAAATTGGCCCATCTCCTTTCGATTTGAATCGGTTTGAATACTTATTATTCTTGACTTTTGTTATATTTGTGGGCATCTTCCGTCCGCTTCCTAGCCGGGAGCTCTCATTCTTGAATTTATTTGAGTTATGCGGCATCTTCGTTCACCTTCGTTGAAGTTAAAAGGAAATCCGCTGCTCCTCGACCAAACCGCGATCCGCTTTGCCGCAATCGTATTTGCCGTGATCCTCTGCTCATCCACCGATTCCGAGATCGGCTCGATCGAATCTCCGCCTATTCTGCCGATTACACGATTCCGCCCAAACTCCTCTCCGTCGCGATCCGCTTCAGTTCTCTATCGCGATTCGCGATCGATCCGTCTGCTCATGCTCGTCCCGCTTTGCTGCTATCCTTCTGCTCGTCCCGCGATCGATCCAGGAGCTCGCCACCAAAGCCGCCAGGAAATCGGCTCCGACGACCGGCGGCGTCAAGAAACCCCATCGTTTCCATCCCGGAATGGTGGCTCTGCGCGAGATCAAGAAGTACCAGAAGAGCACAGAGCTTCTCATCCGTAAACATCCATTCCAGCGCCTGGTTCGTGAGCTCGTGCAGGACTTCAAGACCGATCTCCTCTTCCAGAGTCCGTCGTCGCTGCGCTTCAGGAGGAGGCGGCAGAGTCCTATCTTATGGGACTTTTTGAGGATACTAATCTCTGCGCGATTCATGCGAAGAGGGTTACGATCATGCCGAAGGATATTCAGCAATCTTAGCGTTTTGTGGCTCCAGCGTTAGCCAGCAAGGCCCCGGTTTCCTTCCTCCATCAAGTGGTTTTGTTCCAACATGAAGAAAGCCAACGTCTTCTTGGTGACCTCCATCGCCGCCGCGTCCTCTTTCATTTCCTCCTCCTTAAGTCATGAATGCTTGGCCGAATCTCCCTTCGATAACGAGGTTTCATTTGAGAATGTGAAGGCGACAGTATCTGGATCGGCGAGAGGCGGAGACTGTGAAAAGTTTGCTCCCAGATTTTTTGGTTGAAAAGCGTTGTTATATTTGTATTCATTTGATTCGGATCTTCTTAGATAGGCATCGTTACTTCTATGGTATCTTCGACCTACTTCTTGCAAGTCTTCAACTCCTTCCTAGATCGTCAGGCTTCGGTCTTTTTCAGGCTCCGGCCAAGCATGCATTATTATGGAATTAGAGCAGCTGGATTTGATAAATTCGAATTTAACAGATTTATTCTAATTGTAGCGAAACTCCCCCATAGTGTCACCCAAGAACTTCACCAATAATAACTATGAAGTGAAATCATAATACCTTGAATAATAAATATACAAATTAATGGAAGTTTAAAAAGACAATCATCACTAAAAAAATTGAGACGTTCTTCACAAAATCAAAACCAGGCATTAAGCAAAATTTTGATGCAACTAATAAAGATAAAATGGTTGTTAAATTTCTTAAAATTGCATTTGACATTAATTATAACAATGCTAAAGAGAATGCAAGTTTTCATTATAAAAATTGATGACATCAAAATGTAAATGAGAGGAAAATTTTCATCAACATTTCTAGAGAAGAAAGATCCACCGTCATATCATTAATATGTGCACTTGCATGCATGTATATAGGCTTTATGCCTGCTGGAACACATCACTTACAGTTCTAATTGAACCAATTGCTTGTTGCACTATTATTGTAGCATCACCATAAGCTGTTTGACTTGTTGAAGCCATCTTGGATACAACAATAGACATTATTGCACCAGCAAGAACAATGAGTGGAATTATGGATAGCATCACGAGCGACAAAAGCCATCCTTGAACAAATGCAACTATGAAGCCCCCAAAAAATGTTGATATTAGCTGAATAAACTTGCCAACCTGCAGTATAGCCAATGTAAAAATTGAGAAGCTTCAAATTTCCTTTCATAAATTCATTGGTGTTAGTACTTTTACCTTCTCACCCATTGCATCTTGAATTAGAACAGTATCACCTGACATTCTTCCAACAACTTCTCCCGTGCTTGTTTCCATATCAAAGAATGCAATTTCTTGCCTTAATATGGCTTTCAGGTACAAGTTCCGTATTCTTGCTGCCTGCCTCTCCCTAGTTACCATCCAACAAGCCACCTCTGATAGAAAAATGAGAGCACTGGTCTCAACTAACAACATAAATATCATTTATTTTGGTTTCAGATAAATGAGATCAAATGACACAATACACTTAAGCGTACTTACGGAGAAGAGATGACACTCCTGCGCCAACTGCTAAATATATAAGCTCAAGGGATACCTACAAACATAAAAAATGATTAATCGAAATAATAAAATTTTAGCATAATAATAAATGACGAAAAATAATGATTACAAATGATGATATTTTGTGAATTATCTTTTTAATAATGTAGATATAAAAAAATTCTGAATTAAATGAGAATAATTGTGATAAATATACATACATACATATATATATATATATTTGGTCAAGAAAAAAAATATCAAAAATATCAAAGTATTAAATTTTGACCCAAGGCAAAGTTAACACATTCTTATGCACCCAGGCTCTTATTAAAATGCCAAAATAACTCAAATCCTATCCAAACTCTCTTAGCCAACCTTTCTTTTTGTTTCCACACCAAAGCCTCTATATTATTAACATACAGACCTAACTCCCTCTTATGCTTCTCAAAAAATCAGTTAACACTACGCCATTCAAATCCAACATTGACCTTATAATTCTTAACCAACCTATGACCTTCCCCATTCAGAAGTCCAAAAGCCCTAATCGCTCGTATTAATTCCTATGTGTCTTCTATCACCTTGAAAAGAATAGAATGTAAAAACAGATTCCTCCAAATATCTCCTCAAACAACACCATATCATAAAATCATTTGGTAACAGAACAATGTGGTTGGTGGCTTGACCATTAAATCATTGTTAAAATTCTTTTCTCCGTTCTCCATCATTTTGTTACAATGCATAAGGATTCATTTGCATGGACTTGGAGATATTTCGTGATTCATATATTGGTCCAAACCTTTTAGTAGTTTTTTTAAACTTGCATGTTGTGTGTTTTGTTTGTCCTTTTTCAAAAATCTCCACTTTTGGCTTCGTGGCCCAACCATTAAATGAATACTACATCCTCCATTATTTTTGGTGTAATGCTTAAGAGGGAATTCATTGGCATACATTTGAAGATATTTGCCTATTCATTTATTATTCCAAAGCAATCGTTAGGTTTTTCCAAACTCACATGTTGTGTTCCTTGTTCTTTTTCAAAAAATGCCCAATCGTGGCTTATACATAAACAAGAACTCAATTATTTTTTTTTGCAGTCACCTCATCCACTTCCGTTAATTTTCAGTTTTCTGACTCGGATTTAAATTAAATTTTATTTTTCATTCAGTTGGTAAAAATGTGGTTATATTAGTTTAGTTTTCAAATGTTTACTTTGCATTTTAGCATTTCCATCCATCCCTTATATTTTCAGTACATATATGCTTTCCTAATTTATTCTGCAATAATGTTTACATGTTGCATTTGCATTTTAAGTTTGTTTCTAACATTAAAAATTTACTTCTATAAGTCAAAACTTTTTAAGCGAAGGAGAGTTGATAAAGAAAGTGCTTAAATATCTTGATATTTTAGCAAGGCTAAAATTCTTATTGTAGGATGTAAAATTAAATCATGTATAGAAGAAGAATTTTTGTGATACATACATACATACATACATATACATATACATACATACATATACATATATATACATATACATATACATACATACATATACATATATATACATATACATATACATACATACATATACATATATATACATATACATATACATACATACATATACATATATATACATAAAAAGTTTAGTATTTCATTAAGAAAACCTCAGTTTACAACTCTTAAAATGGGAGCATGTAAAGCATCTCAGAAAACCTCAGTTTACAACTCTTAGAATGGGAGCATGTAAAACATCTCCAACCAGCAAAAAACAAAGAGGAGGAGGTGGGGAGTAAGAAACAAGACTTTCAAGGGAAAAAAGATCATTCCTGGCAAGCCAATTAGCAGGTTTATTCCCTTCTCTGTAAATAAAGGCAAGTTGAACCTTCAAACTAGTCAACATGGTCAGAATCTTCATAACCCATTGTAAATGATACCAAGAGGAGTGTCTTCCATCCTGTAACATCTGTAAAAGAACCTTTGAATCTCCTTCAAGCAGAAAATTATGCCAGTGATTCATTTTAGCAAGGGTGAGGGCCCAGTACACAGCAATCAACTCAGCTTCAAGGACATCAACAGCACAAATAGGAGCCTGAAAAAACAGGAAGCAGTGTCCAAGATGATTCCTGAACACACCCCCCATCCCAGCCCCCAATTGAGAAAAACTGCCATCAGTGTTAATTTTTTATGAAAGGACAGATAAGAACCAATAGACAGTAGTTACCCTGGGAGAATGAGGTCTATCAAATGGGGTAGGGGAACATATGCATAAGAAAATTTGGTAGTGTATTAACTTGTGAAGATAAGAAATAGAGTGTCTAGTCACTTGTAACTGAGTGCTGGTCTGACCGTCAAACTTGGCCTTGTTCCTGACCATCCAGAGGAACCAGGCCACCATAAAAGGAATTGTTCCAACCTTAGCAGCCTTCCAGCTCTTCCAACAGGAAAGAATATTTGTCCATTTCAAATGAATAGTATTCAATGTGAGACTTTGAGAGAATTCAGCCTATACCTCTTTAGAGAATTTGCATTTGAAGAATAAATGAGGAATATATTCCTCCTCCTCTCCACATAAATAACATTTAGAAGGACCCCTCGGACCCTTGAGTTTAAGGATATCATCAGTGTGGAGCAGACCATTGAGAATCCTCCAACTGAAAAAAAAAAACATAGAAGGGGATAAGCTTTTCTGCGAAATGAGCTGCCCCCATGGATTTTGTTCTCAAGTTTTGAGTTTATAATAGATTGATTTAGTGAGGCTATGAAGCTTACAGCCCTGCCAGGCCAATTTGTCAACTCTAGATCTGTCAAACTGAATTTTGTTAACTTGCATAGCAGAATGAGGTTGGTGAATGGTTTGGAGTAAAGGCAATGACCAGTTGTTCCCATCCCAGCAGTCAGCAACAGTTAATTGGGTATTAGCATGATCAGTGATAGGTTGTAGCATCTCTTTTGGACACTAGGAATCAAGCCAGAAATTAATCTTACCATTGCTAATATCCCAGATGAATAGATCTTCAGCCTGGTTTCTGACTTTCAGCATATTAACCCATATCCGGGAGTCTCCAAGCTTTCTGTTCACAGTATTAGGATGACAATCCTTGCAATATTTCCCAAACATGAATTTTGTCCAAAGAGATTTTTGCTCTTTGAACTTGATCTACATCTTGCACAGCTTGACATGTAGAAGGTGTTGCAGACCTTTGAAACCAATCCCCCCAGCCACAGTGGGTTGAGCTAATTTCTGCCAACTAGCCCAATGAAGCTGTAGCCTTTGACCAGCCCACAGAAATCTATTAAAAGCCCTTTCCAATTGCAATTGAGTGCTTTTTTTCATACTGGTCATTTGGAGAATGTAGGAGGGAAAAGTTGTAAGAATGCTCTTCAACAATGTAATTCTTCCCCCATTAGAGAGGAATGAGTGTGTCCAATTAGAAAGGGTGGCTGAGATCTTCCTCAGCACATCTTCAAATTGAGTTTGCTTAGATCTACCTTTTAACAATTGAAGTCCAAGATACTTGATGGGCAATGTGGAACTAGTAAATTTGGTATAATCAAGGATCCAATTTCTTTGCATCAGAGGGGTATGCCGATTAAAGTAGCACAACATTTATTTGGGTTAAAATTCAAACCAGAATGCATTTCGAAAAGCTGTAGACACTTAGATACTTTCTTCACTGCATCCTTACTAGTACTAGAAAACATCATAATATCATCTACATAAACTAAATGTTAAACAAACACTTTAGATTTATGATGGTACCTGGCATAACTGAAAGGGAGGAGACTTCTGTTCAACATTTTGGATAAGTGGTCAAGAGTCAATATGAAGACAGTGGGAGATAGAGGATCACCTTGCTTTAAAGCTCAGGAAGCCGAAAAGGAACCCCAATCTTTTCCATTAATAAGAAGGGAATGTTTATTATCCTTAAGCCACCTGTGTATGAGAATATAGAATCAGTTGGAAAACCTTTAGAGGAAAGAATATCCAAGATGAAGTCCCAACAAATTGTATCATAAGCTTTCTTGATATCTAATTTATAGATTAGATTGTCACTCCTATAGGGTTTATCCAGTCCAAAAGAAGCTCTTGAGCAAGAAGCACATTATTAGTGATAGATCTGTCGTTGACAAAGGTAGACTGATTTTCACGAACAAGTTTACCAAGATGGGGCTGGAGTCTGCCAACAATAATCTTACTAATAAGTTTACTGATGATAGAAGTGAGACTAATGGGCCTGTAATCATTCCAGTTTTTCTGAGTAGAAGATTTGGGGATTAGAACAATACTAGTAGCATTGAAGTAATAAGGTATAGAAGAGCCTTGGAAAGAACTTTGAATAGCAGCAACCACCTCATTTTTTATGGTGTCCCAGATTTTCTTATAAAAGTCAGATGTAAATCCATCAGGTCCAGTAATTTTAGAGCTATCTATATCTTAAAGGGCCTGCCAAATTTCAAGATCAGTAGGAGGGTGAGCCAGATTTAGATTGTAAGTATAGGTAATCTCCTCAGTAGAGTAAAAATTCTCAATAAGTAATCTTTGGATGTCAGGTTGAGTTAAAATCTGCTGGAAATGTGCAACAACATCAAGGGCAATAGAAGCATTACCAGAAAGCCAAGTTCCTTCAGAGTTCTGAATGGTATGAATGGTATTGCACTGTCTCCTATATTTGATGCAGGCATGATAGAACTTGGAGTTCTTGTCCCCATTTTTGAAGTGGCTAATAGTAGCTTTTTTGCTTAAGAAATTTCTCTTGTCTATCAATGATAATAAGTAATTTCTCTTGAGCAGCTAATAACAAGATATCCTCCCCACCATCTGCTAGAACAGAATTCTCCAGCTCCAACACCACCTTTTCAACATCATCCACAGCTTTAAAAAACA